TAATCGAATTTGTAGCGAATTCGTAGCGACATATGTTTCGTCTAGCGCAAGCGTACCTTTAATCTTACGACTGAGAGCACAGTAAACTCGTTGCAGGAGTGGCGCATACGCACGCTTGTCTGACTTTAACCGGTCGTTTCTACTTGCCCCTTTCGGAACTCCTGTCGGCGCACGTGGCCCGCCTCGTGGAAATTAACGTAAATTTGTAGAGCCACACGAATTGCTTGCTCAGCGAGTCGACACCTGCGATGAATTATGGTCAAGCACGCTCAAATAACTTGGTGCTCGTAGAGAGTCGCGACCGGAAGAAGCTCCAGGACGTTCTTGAAATTAACGGTTAACATCCCTGAAATTCGGTCGGTCCGTTCACTTAATATAAAAGCAGATTTATAGACTTCTTTTATATCGAAAATTCGGTCTTGCAAATAGTATTATTTATATTGGTTTATATATTTGCAAATAAAATTGATAATTACTTATTGCAGTTTTAAGAAAAATTACCTTTATAATACATATGCTTTTTAAAAATACATTTTACAAGAAAAATATATAAAATTCTTTTTTTTATTTAAAAGTAACCAGAGATTTTTTAAATAAAAATTAGATTAACAATGTAATTTCTTGCATAATATCGATATATACTTCCTTTGTTCCCTAATTACTCATATTATTATATGTATGATATAAAGTATTTTATTTTTCGTCGTTACGTTTAAACTTGGATTACTGTCTTCACTGTAGACGAATAAATCTTCTACCCGAATTATATTTTATCTACGCTGAATTTAATTCCGCTTTTTCACGTGTACAAACATTGTTTAAATGACACTCATAATGTCAGACATAATTAATCATTTTTACGTAGATTACTATATGCGCTCTCCTTTTTTCCGCTTGACGTTTCAATTAAATCTTATCATTTCTGCGTGTCAAGTGATGCAATACGTGTAACGTAATATACGCTTCATAAAATTGTAACGGCAGTTAAAGTTAATGACAAGCCATGAACAATTCGAACAATAGAAGTGAAAACGCGCGCGGAAAGTAGCAGTCAGATAATATCGCGATATAGATGACAATCTCACCCTTCTTGCTACGAATGTTTGTCAGTTCTGCCTTTGTAATCACTGTTTGCTGAAAGTTGTCACTACCTTTCTCTGAGGTGAGAATGCCTGCGACAAGTTCCGGATAAGAGGCGTCGCGTGGAATAAGTTTTGGAACAAGAAGATTACAAGCCCCGAGCTTTAAAGGCTCAAGAAAGCAAAAGAGGTTCGTGAAAGAGAAGAAACGTAGGATGTACGTATATTGAGGATGTAACACATGTGAGGGAACAGAGAGAGAGAGAGAGAGAGAGAGAGAGAGAGAGAGAGAGAGAGAGAGAGAGAGGCGTATTATTATCCTAGGGCAAGTCCTCTAAGGACATAAAAGCAAAAGAAAGTGACAGAACAAGGTTATACAAAATAACTGAAGTGATACAACAAAGTATTATAAGCACAAAAAACACAAAATAAAATATGATATAAAAATAAAATATGCCGAGTAGTGTTATAAAGTAACGGACATGACAAGCCGTAACAGAAATAAAAAGAAAGGTAATTCAAATACAAAAGTAATACAATTACAAAAATTAAGATAAAATATAATATGAAGATAAACTGTACCAAGCGGTTACTAAAAGAGAGAGAGAGGGGGGGGGGGAGAAAAGTCATAGAAGATAAATGAAGATGAGATCGAAAAGAAAAGAAAAGCGTAAATCGATGGGGCTAAACAGAGAAGGAGGGTCGTTACGTCGAGGGTAAATCTCCGTGAGTTAATGACTTGCGAAGTTTTAATTGATGCGCTGTAATGAAACTATGTACCTAATGCGCTGCGCCGCGCGAAATAACCCGAGTAATCTTATTTCCGATACTTCACACTTGAGGTTTTCAAGGCACTGGAACGAAATTTTTGAACGCGAACGAATGGAAATTAGAGGGAGAGACAATTGGGAAGAGAAGATAAATGAAGATGGAAACGTGATACAATAAAGTGGTTGAGCAAAATTGAATAGTACAAGCAGGGAAAAAGTCTATTCTTTCCGCAGGAAGCACCGAGCAAGATGAATGTGTAGTTCACAATCCATTCTTTTCCAGAAAATTGTAACATATCGTTACCTGCGAATAGTTGATTGTTTAATTAATTAAGCCACGTAATCCTCTAGCGCGTAATTCTATTGTAACATTATACTATTATCGTACGTGCAACTATTAATCCCAGGAGTGTAATACAATGTGTTTAACACCAGGAACGCAACGCGATCTCCGAAAACGCGGAGGATAAACGCAAAATTAAGCAACGTTGAACTGTTCTCGCGTTTTGACAGTAATTAATCTCACGTTTTAAGATTAATTATTTTAAATCGTTTAATTAAAACTTCTTTTACAAATTTATATTTCAGAATAATAATAAAATGTTCTGTTGGTAGTAAATCCGTTCAAGTAAAATTGTATGGGATTATTTGTTCTTAACAAAAATTTGGATCGCAATCGTCATTAATCAAATTTCCAATTTTCAATGTATCTATATGACTAAGCGTGAGACAAAGATCCTGTTACAAAGTTTGTTTGAAATTAACTGAAGAATCTCTCTTTATCTTCTGAAAAGTCCATAAAACTAACCAAAAACTATAAATCTTTTTAGACAAATATTTACCAATAAAAATCGGCTTTGAATCTCGCAAGAGATAACATTGTAAGTACATTTTCCTTCTGTTCTAGGACACTCGGTACACGTGCGCGGTTGACATGCGAAAGTGCGTGACCAGGCGCGCTCCATCATCGTCCAAGAGCTATCGCCATTCGCTCCGTGGATCGGTCTCTCGAAGGTGCCTCCGTGCCCGTGCATGAAGTTCCAGATACGTAACTTTTTCGATGGTGCGAGACACGCGGAAGGAAGAGAAGACGTCGAGAAAGATATGGGGCATGAGAGAGGGCGGAAGAGGAAGGGAGGATAAGGTGGTGGCTGCGGAGAACGAAAGGAACTGAGAACGGGGTGAGATGTGCGATATTTACGAATTCAGATAAAGAGCCCCGGCAGACATGTAGGAGAGGAGAAATCGGGCGTCGTATATCGCTCTTCAAGCTATCTTACGGCGAGACCCGACAGCGAAATTTACTTAACACCCTCTCCATCCCTCGTTTCGCGAGGCTGCAACAGAACAGGGTCACTCGATTGTCGCATGCACCGAGCCAGTGGACGTTATTCATATAGCTGCATCTTCTTGAGTAAGAATTTCTTACACTCTAAATTTCTTGAAGTGAAATCTCACTTCAAGAGAGTGAAAATGCAACCACCCTTGAAAAAAAGTGAAAATATTTCACTTTTTTTCAAGGGTGGTTGCATTTTCACTTTCTTAGAGTGAGATTTCACTGTAGGAAATTTAGAGTGTACATATATGTATACACTGAGAGAACGATTCGCTGCAATATCTGTTTAAAAATTTATAGATACACACAGATTTGTAAATAATTTTGTTAGACCATCAAAATTTTTAGGTAGGACACTCAAACTGATTGCTAAAGTGTGACAAAACTTTTTAACCCTCTAGCAATCAATTTGAGTGTCCCATCTAAAAATTTTAATAATCTAAAAAATTATTTTCGCTCTTCTTTCCGTGTACAGATATATTCGTTTGATGTATTATACATGTATAAATATATACGAAGTTATCAAAAGACAAATATTAATATCGTTCTATGTTTTATTAAAAAATGTGTTTGAATATATATGAATTGCAATGTTCTAAAAATGTATTCATCCTGTAATTAATTCAAATATAAATGGATTCTGCATATGTTCTCAAATGGTTTTCACCAAATATATATCGATATTCACTTATTTCATAAACATTAGATGTAAAAATAGAAGAATTGGATAAAACTGGGAAATTTAAAATATCAAAAATAACTTCCGTACAGTTATTGCATTTATTACATTTTATATTTATTATAAATATTTCATCTTTTAAATCACTGTAGATTTTTCTAGCTTTGGTTTAAATTCCCGTAAGCTGAAATATCTATGCGAACGGATCGAAATATATATTTGTCGTTTTCACAAAAACAAGAATAACCATGAATTATTTCTGTTATATTTAAAGCTCTTTTTTAAGTAAACCTCAGTTATGACCAGAGAATAAAATTTTTCACAAGCTGAAGATTTTTATTGTTACCCACTTTCGTATGAACGCACAGATCAAATTTATCTCATAACAAAAGTGTCTTATTCATCCTATACCGTCCTCTAAAAACGCTATTTCACGAGAAAGACTGCGCTGGTTGGTGCTTTAAAGGGTCGGCAGAAGTGACGGGCCAAATCATCTGTACTTCGTTCGTGATACATATCTGTACTTTACCATATTTTGTCTCGAAGAAATATTATGCCATGAGACATTTTTTTTTTCCTTTTATGAAGTCATACAAATTCTTATAGAGTCAAATGTTGGCTATTAAATAATTATAATAAATGAAACTGTCTGTTCCTTATTTGCGGTGTAGTTACGCGTCTTCATATTTTATTTCCTAAAAGTAATAAGATCTTTTGGCTTTTTTTTATAAAGTTACGAAAGCACGTACCCAGAATCGGATTTTGTAATTTGGTTCTTAAAACATTTTAATGACTAAAATTATCTATACCTCAACTATAGATCGAGTGAGATATCAAAACAAATTTTATTTTACTTTTGTTTATTTTACTTTTCAAAAAGTCGCTGCGTACATGGCAAGCTTTCTGATTACAAATATCGCGAATATTATATGCGATTTTCTCAGTATTTTTGCAGTAATTTTAACATAAAGAGATCTATTTTTGATAGAAGTCCCAATATGTATAGTTTCACCTGCCGACCCTCAACACATTCTTCCTGACAGAAATGACATATGTTATAATTAAACGCGTGACTCGCAACAAGATTCGAGTGTATTTTAATTCTGAAAGAAACGAAGACGAATTTGACAATTCGATTAAGGGAACACAATTTCTGTAAATGATTCCAACGGCGACTCGATACAGTCGGGATACATAAGGATGCAATCGCCGCCAGACCTACCCAATCGTTCGGCTTCCTGATACAATTTGTTGGCGCTCCGGTGATTGGAATTAATCGCTACCGGCAAGTCCTCCGTAGGCCTGCAAAGGAGATTCAGATTAAATCGTTTCGAGCTTTTACTTCCTGTCAAGCTTAAGACTATTCAACTACACCGGGTGTTATCCAATATCTTCTGAAACATCCCGTAATTTAATCGCTCATTGTTTTGACAACTTGGTCAGAATTATTGTATTAATTTTCCTTTCATTAAGAATTCACAATATTTATACAATACATATATCGACATATTTTCTAATTGCAAGATACAACCGAAACTATAAATTGATAATTGCGTGAATTTTAGAGATATATATAGTTTACATTGTTTACGGAATGTATGTAACAAATAATATTATTAGCATAAATTATATTATTCATATAAATAATATTAATAATGTAAATAATATAGTTACCGGTATTACTATACATTAAAATTATAATTTCTACCGCTTTGTAATATATAATAAATCTTTGACCACATTTGCGTAAAGTGCCTTAATTTATCTCGCTTCCCATATATTATAACAATTATTGAACCGATCATGAATCTATATGGATATCTCCGATATTTATCGAAAGTCTCAGAAATTTGTATACTCGGCAATTAATGGCTCGTCGGCATTAATTTGTGAAATATACTTGACAACGGGAGCTTACTCGTGAAATCTCTCGGGCACGAAGTGCATTGGTGTTTTGTTAGATTATTTTGAAAGAGATTTCCGAGGGCCGGAGAGACCAAGGAAGAAATATTATAAGACGATGTCTGATGAAAACTTGGACGAAACACTTCCGGAACTTAATGTACGCGCCAGACTTAGTCGTGCAATTACCGCGCCGGTGTTAGCTCGGGCGCAATTTCCTTCGAACATACGCGGGCGTGGGCGCGTTTGGAATAGCAAATTCGTGGCTTCTGGTTACAGGACGGTTTGTAGCCGGCCGACGGACGAGCGAATATTTTACATGATGTAACAGCCATCTGCTACTCGACCGACGCTCAATTAGAATTCTGCCAAACGTGAGGTCGGATTTTATGGCCGTCCAGGCAACTGTGTGTACGCGTAATCACGCAATCACGTGTCAAAATTGTAAGCTCTGTCCACGTACATATTCATGTTTTACGAATCTTTCGCTATCACACTCTGCAAAATCCATAACTGACATAATTTCGGCAGTTTTTATATTGCAAAACAAATTTTATTCGCTCATAGCGAATTCCATAAATTAATAAAAAGAGATTCCTCCTTTTATTTGTATGAAAAGAATGGTTTTGCCAAAATATTTAGCTATAAGATATAGATCGGTAAAATAATTTTATTGGGCTATCAAAAAAATTATGTAAGAAATTAAAGCGTGATGAACACAATACTGGATAAAATTTTGACACTACAGAAATTAATTTGAGACTCATACATAACTATTTTGATAGTCCAACAAAATTTTTAGATATGTATCTAGTTAAATTTTTAAATATTTCAACAAAACTATTCTTTCTGTGTGTATGTTAAATCTAATCTGCACCGCTGTATAACATTTCTGAAAATTATCTTTTTTTTTTTTTTATATATAGTATACATAATAATAATCTAATATGTATTTTCTTTATTGAAAAAAAATGTATTATTGTATTATTTAATTTTATATATAATGAATAATTTACAAGGAGATTGTAAAAAAGAAAAAGAGACAGACAAAAATAAAACTCGGTAGAACTTTGTCCGAAAGTTCCGATAACTTATAAAGAGACAAACTTCAGTTTTATTACTAGACGAATTCGCTACAACAGGATGAGACTTTTTGCCCCGCTAACCCACATTTTACGAACTGTATATTTGCGTACGAATATTCTCGGCGAAGTCTCTACATTATTTCTAACAAATCCGTCAGCTGTTACAAATTTCCAAAGGAATTCATTACTCTCACGACTCTCCGGCGATAAATCTCGTTTCTGGAAGTACGCGAACGTACATAGGTTTAGTTCGTGTTCAAAGCGCGAGTGCCGAAACGTTGGAATCGACTTACGTTAAAATTAGGTGGATCACTTCCCCTAGGACGTCCTGCTGAGTCCTGCGAAGCGGCGTCTCCGCGAGCTCGCAGATAGTTCTCAAAAGGCACTGCCTGCCATCCCGCCAGCCGTGTCTGAAGAATCAGAAGATTGAATCTTACTTTGTAGCACGGTTATTTACTTTTCGGCCGTCACGTTTCCTTCTCTTTTACGTTACTCCGCCGCGCGGTTCGCTCTTATTCTAATTAACACTGAGATAATTTTATCAAAGTGATAGATGCTAGGAAAATTTTTTATTGGCAACAAAAGACTAATAACGTCAACTTTTTTTCACAAAATGTTGTCTGTACGAATTTGTATGAAATGCCAGTGTAAAGTCAACTTATCTGTTATTGTGATGTTTTCAGCCATAAAAATAAGAGAAGAAATAATGTTAGATAAAATAAAAAAAGTAATAGTAACTCTATCTTTTGAGGTAAATAACATTTTGTTATTTTTAATTTCTATGTCAAAATATAAATAAATCCATTTCTGTAGTTAGTCTCAAAGTGAACAACGTATATTAATGTATGCACTTAGTAAATAATAAACTAAATTTGAATCAAATTTAATTCATTTTTTTGACCTAAATGGTTTGACTTCATTGTTTTAGTTAAATTAACAACATATTATAAATTAATAACAGCAGTGGAGGCCTATAAAAATGATTAAAAATAAATTTACGTTACGTAATTTGACATTATGAATTTAACAGTATAAATTACGTACTTGATTTTGTAAAAAATATAATGGGTAAATAAACACGTAATGAAATAGTCATAACGAACGCTTTCTAAATTTTTAACAAATTTTTTAAATTAAAAATTTCTTTGTAAAGCTAATTATCAACGCAATGTCAAATGTATATAAATGCCTATATTTAATTTTCGACAAAACGTGCATCGCAATTAGAAAAAAGAAATAAATTTGCCCTTCATGACGTCTCTTGTGGTATCAGAACAAAAAAATGTGATATTGATTTGTCAAAATTATTTTTCATATTCCTCCAAATTAATTCGAGATCTTAATATTTAAGTCCATCATATTTCGTTATTATTACATGCAATTACTATTATTTTCTTGGGGTAAACTTTTCGCTTATAATTATGTCCCTGCAGTGTACGCTATCCTCCATCCCAACAGAATAATTGCCTTATGTCCCAATTAATTTATGTTCAAGTCGCCGTCTTTACCCATATCGCCCTTTGATCCTGCGGACGGTAACTTCCACTTACGTAGAGGAAAGGCGCGAGTGATATAGATTGAAAGGAGACGCCCTTTATCGCCGAAATAGTTTCAGAGTTGGCAAAATTTTGCACGCTCTGTCGATTGCTGTACACTATTACACAGTTGGAAATTTTGTATTAAATTTAATACATTTTACGTGGTCCAAAAAGCCCACCCAAATCTTTGTGTTAATTTAACATAAAATGAATATATTAAGAAATAATATAAATATTACATTTTAAAAATTAACATAAAAGATAGACGCTGATACAATTTGTAAGCAAATTTTAAAAGCATCTTTCTTCAATAAAACTAATATTTATAATAATATCAAATTAACACGTTTCAGTAAAATTAATATTTGTAATATAGTCACTTAGCACATTTTATTCATTTATCTTAGAATTTGTGCTGCAAATGCATTATTTTTATGTTCATTGTTCATTTATTCTTAAATTATGTTATTATATTACACGAAAAAATGTTGAATATCAATTTGGCACAAAATGTTCAAATAACACAGTCATATTATGTTAAATTCACTCGGATATGTTAAAAATTCAATACAAATATTTTAACGTTTTAAGGACCGGTTTTAATACAAATACAAAATATGTTTTACTGTACACCTCTTTAATTTAATAATAAAAAATAAATGATGAATGTACTTGTGTTTACCTGAGATATGTGTGTGTGTGTGTATCAATA